TGATTCCCTCTCTCCCTCCCTCCCTCTATCCGTGTGTGTGTTTGTGTGTGTGTATGTGTGTTTGTGTCTTCCTCTCTCTCCCAACTTTAAATGCTAGTCTTTATCGATACCTTCTTGACTTTTAGCCCATAGGTCCCAGCGCACCTTGCTCCCACCTCTGCGGAAGGCCTCTGAGTCAGAAACTCCTTGTGTTGAACAGAATTGAAGGTGGTCCAATGTCTTATTTCTCCCAATGCTCGTCCTTTCTGGGGCCTCTTCATGGCACCCTTGAGCCTTTCCTCTAGTGGACCCCTTCTGAGGGGTGTTCTCCTGTCAGCCTCCTCTGTGAATCTAACATCATTTTCTTTTATTTAACATCATAGTTGTCTACTGTTCTTCCTACACTATCTTCTGAGACTTTCATGATTTTCTGTTCTCTGTTTAATATATTTGAGTCACTGTGTGGATGGATATAAGGTCTTTATTTTTTTCCCCACACGGATGTCCAATTGTTCCAGGGTCATCTGTTAACAACACTGTTTTCTTCAGTACATGATTTTATCTGTCATTAAAAGTTAGTAGACATTATCCAATGGGTCTATTTCTGGCTCATTATTCTGCTCCAGGTACACGTGTCTGTCCCTCCACTAATACCTCAGTGCCTTGAATCCTGCAGTGAAGTTTTTCATATTCGTTCTTTCCTTTCTGAGTCCAGAATGCCAACTCTTGTAGCATAGAACCAACCCCATTCTTTTCTCTTGGTATTTTGATGACTACTCTGGATCTTTTTCTTCTCCTAATAAACTTTAGAAAAAAAATTATTAATAGCAAAAAGTTAGTTTGACACATTGTTTATACTTTGCTAAATTTATACCTAAATATTTCATTGAATACCTAAGTATTCTATTTTTTAATGTTATGGTAATTGGCATTTTGTTTTAAATTTTAAATTTTATGTGGTCATTGTTAGTGTATAAGAAAGTGATTGACTTAACATTTTTATTTACTTATTTTTATTAGGTGTGTGTGTGTGTGCATGTGTGTGTGTGCATTTGTGTGAGCGTGTGCATGTGTGTGCATGTGTGTGTGTGTGTATAAGAGGGTGTGCATGCCATAATGCGCATGTGGTGGTCAGAGGGCAGCTTTGTGAAGTTTGTCTTCTACCTCCAACGTCACACGGGTTCCAGGATTTGAACTCAGGTCACCTTTACCCACCAAACTGTCTCACTGGCCTGTGATTGGCTTTTGTCTATCAGCTTCAGATCTTGGAAAGTTACTTTAGTTGTATATTAGATCAAGAATAGTTTTCATCGTTGGTGTCTATTCGGCTTCTTTACTGTAGCCACGCAGGAGTCTGTGAACAAAGGCAATTTTTTTTCCTTCCAGACCTGTGCTGTATTGCATTTTCATGTCTTCATTAGCTGAGACCTTCCTTTCTGTTGTCCCAGTGTGGCCACAGAGAGGACTGAGGTAGGCAGTGTCCACAAGGCAGTTCGGACTGAAAGATCAAAGACTGCCTCAGAGGGACAGGTAGGTGAGGCAGACTGAACTGACCAGCTATTGTCAGTGAGCAGGGACTGTACAGAGATCACCTCTGAAGCATGGCGAGCCCTCAGGTCCTCCCCTTGACTTTCTGGGCCAAGTCGGATGTTCCAGATAGCTCTACGGTAATGTGGTCTTTCTTTTCTACCCTTTCTACCTCTCTTTCCTTTTGTCCTCACAGATCCGGACAAAGGACAGAGTCTTTGACAGCATCAGTCACCTCATCAATTACCACCTGGAGAGCAGCCTGCCCATTGTCTCTGCCGGGAGTGAGCTCTGTCTCCAGCAACCTGTGGAGAGGAAACCCTGAGCTTGCCCAGCGCCCCAACCCCCATACCTTATGCCAGGTCAGGAGGACCTGGGCTCTGCTCTCTCAGCCTATGGGAACTGGGGCAACTGTCTGTGGGCCCATCACCTTCAAAAGCCCCCCAGGGAGGTTTCCATCAAGTTCAAATTTCATACATATGTTCACACGACTCAGATATGCATATTAGAAGTGTATATACCCATACATCCTGTACAAATGGCCCCGATATTTATATTTTTTAAGACTAAGAGAGATGTGAGACTAGTGCTCTATGCTGTTTGTTTTTAGAGAGAGGCAAGTTTGACTGTAGTTGTTCTGGGGAAAAAAATAGAAAATAGAAAACTAACCTGTTCTACTGGGAAATTTTGCTAGGAAGGTGTAGCCTGCAGTTCCACATAATAAGCACAATTCAAGGCGAATGCAGGTGAGCTGGCAGCTCCAGGACAAACAGAATTGTGATAGAATACGGTAGCATGCTGCCCAAACATCTGCCCCTGCTGGTACAGCTTTGTGTGAGTGCTGATTCCAGGCTTCAGCTCAGCTCATGGATGGTGGTGTCTCCTCTGGGATGGCGGTACCTCCTCCAGCCCTTGCTTGCTGGATGCTGCCTCCTATGCCCCAAATTAATACTGTATGAGTGCATTTTCTGCCACAGGATGACCCAGTGAATCCCCACTCCAAAGCAGACAGTACTCTGGCTTGTTTGGGTCGTGTTTTAGCATGGGGAACCATCCATCACCCTTGACTTCAATTGTGTGTGTGTGTGTGTGTTTGTGTGTGTGTGTGTGTATTTGGGAGCTTCATTTGAGGCCAAACATGATACAGAATAAGACTTAAGATGTCTAATTGGCAAGTGCTTCCTTGGTGTTTGTCAGCATACTGATAACGTGAATGTCTGAGGAAGTAGGGTGGGCATATTCCTGGTCTGTATGTCTATACAAGACAGCGTGTCTATCACAGGCTTTGTATGGAAGGTGCCAGTGAAGCGGCCTTCCACCTACCTCTCCTATTCAGTAGAACAAAAAACCACATGTAAGAGCCTCGCAAGGCCTGTATCAGCTTCTGCCCAGAGTTGAGCCTTGGAGACACACACACCGGCTGTTCTTCCCAGGTCTGTGTGTGCTCAGCTCTACGCTCCAGTCTTTGGAACCAGCTGGCATGAGGAGTGGTGAGCCATCTTGTCTCCCCTCCACATTTTCTTAGTAGCCCCATGAAAAGGGACCACACCCATGGCCCTCTGTCTTGTCTCGCTCTACCGTCTCAGAAGGTGTTGTTTCATGGTGGGTGACAGTCTGTGTTTCAAAGCTGGCTATGTCTATGATGTCTAAAAACATTGAGGCTGTGATCACCCTGTGACTTAGCAAGCATGAGCAGATGATACATTGGTCATTGGTACCTCCTCATAGGACTGCAACCTGGGTATCGGTCCCCATGAGACCCCAAGTGGTAGCACCCCTGGCCAGTATAACAGGACTCTGTACGTTTTAGGGGTGTGATGAAAAATTGGATAGTTTTTAAGAGGAATTATGTCTCTCTGTGGGTGTTTGTGTGTGTATTGTGGGGGGGGGGGTGAAGAGGGAAAAAAAGGGGAGAGAGAGAGAGAGAGAGAGAGAGAGAGAGAGAGAGAGAGAGAGAGAGGGCTCGGTGGTTAAGAGCACTGGGTGCTTTTCCAGAGGACTCAAGTTCAATTCTCTGATCCTTCATGGCAGGCAGCTCACGGCTGTCTGTAACTCGAGTCCCAGGAATCTACCCTCTTCTGGCCTCCAGGGAGGCACATACTGTACTTGACACACTTGCAAGCAAAACACCCATACATACAAACATAAGTAGATACCATTTGAAAGAGAATAGTTAAGGGGAGACCAACCATTGAGCCACTCGGGGTTCGGCATGGCTCTGATGGTATGTGAGAGCCCTGCTTCTGCTGCCCTGTAGTCAGCTGGGTGCTAACAGGCGAGGCTGGGTTAGGAAGATCCCAGGTTCAGTAGACCTCTTGGCAGTTTTTAACCCTTTGAGTGCCCACTGGATCCAAGCTGGCAGTAGATCAGTCTTCAGGGTCCTGCTGCTTCCTGAGTGGTGCGGGGACAGACGCTACCCAGATGAAGCCCAAGAGATGAGCAGATGTGCTGGTAGCCCCTAGTTCAGGCTCTTGCCTTGTGACCACATTACATAAGCTTTGAGGTACCCCAAGAGTCACCCTGTGCTCTGCACCCCCAAGAGGCTGTGCCCTGAGCACACACATACAGGTCTTGCTGCTTCTGTGTGTGAATGTATAGTATATACACATATAAAAATATGAAATTACTCATTCTTGAATTCCCCACTTGTACACTGCTAAAATGCTTCTGTTTTAGTCACTAGCAAAGTGTCACAGATCATGCATACCCCAGCATTTACTCTACTTAATTTCCCTCTCCAGGGAAGTAAAAAGAAAAAGAAAAAAGAAAAAAAAAGGAATACTAAGAAGTAAGTGACTTCTCTGAAGTCAGTGTTGAGTTTGAGGGTAAGAGGATTTATAAGAATCAATGTTTCTCTTTTCAATTTTAATTCAAAATATGTAATTATTGTTCCAGATTAGAGGATAGGGCTTACATTTAGGGAAATCTTTTAGACATGGGGCAGACAGCGGAGGTTGTACTTGGCAGCCATGTTCTGGCCTGCGTTCCTTTTAAACCACGTCAGGGTTCACAGGGGTTTATCATTTTTCTCTACAGACACTGCGTATGTGATGGGACATTCCCTCAAACCTCACTTACGCACGGGGAAACTGAGGCTCACTTCAGGTCACATCGTTAGCTAACCACAGAGCTGTTCTAGTCACGCAGCATTTTCTGTGCACAAGTGTGGCCTGCCTGTGTTTCGGGGTCAAGGTTTGGAGGCAAACCCCCAAGATCCTCCTCCCTGAGCCCAGGCTCCTCTTCCCTGGGTTCCCAGACCATATCTGCCTGGGTAGGGCAGGGTTTCAGGCTATGAAGGAGCAATTCCCTACTGTGCAGAACAGCACTCTATTGTACATCCAGGGGCTTCACCTCCCAGGGCCAGGCATGAGGAGGTGGCGTGTGCCTGGATCCTATGTTCCTCTTTATGAGCACCCTACAACTCCGCCCAGAACTCTGCATCTATTTTAGTGGTGCGTGATGGGGTTCAGAAGCCTTAAAACAGCCCCTGTCTGCTCTTGCACAGTGGCTCTGAAACCCCTGCCAAATCCCTCTATCTCTTGCCCTCCTGGGAGAGCTAGCTGTGTTTCAGATAACCTCTGCACACTCATGGAGCTGGTTGACCTCCCATGGAGCTGTTCATCATGGTCTAGGTTGGCTCTGATTCTTGAATCTCCCTCCACCATAAGGTGGACAGTCTGCTAACAACACAGTCAAATGACTCAATCTTTGACCTACCGTTGTGTTATCACCATGGTGTCCCTTTTGTATTTAAAGAACCAAGAGCTGAGTGCCTGCTCAACCTCGATGAGCAGCTTTCTGTCACAGGCCATCTCAGATGGTGGACAGATGGATTGATGCTAAGTAGGACACACATAGCAACTGTGAGGTTCTCCTAGCAACAGAGGCAGTTGTACGTGAAGGCCATGAGAAACCATGAATGGAGGGGAAAACTTAGATTGGAAGGACAAGGGAGAATGAATTCCCCAAAGCCCATGGGATTCAGGTCACAGCTGCCATGTGTCCATTCCAGTGTCCTGAAGATGCCTCTCTTTTCAAAGGGAAGATCTCCCCTTTGGTGACATTAGACACCTGGGAGGCTTCCTTATGGGAGTGGCTACAGAGTGGACACCTCCGTTCCATGTTAGATCCAGTACCACGTTCTCTTCTTATTGAAGTGAACTGAGTTGAAACCCAACTTCCCCAAGACAGTGATGCAGCAGAGGCCACCCCCGTGAAGCTCATTCCCAGTACAACCAGAACAATCTGGGCACTCTCTGAACAATAGGGTCTCTGAAACCATGGCTTGTATGCCACACCCCAGGGCTTCCCTCAAAGAGTGGTGTGGATATATAAATACGTGAAGTAACTTCCTGGGACTCTTCACTGACAAAGTGTAACTCTCTTCTCCTCCATGGGCCCAAAGTGGCATGCCATCTATAAACAGCTTCTGTGGATGGTGACAGCCAGATTTTAAATAGGAGGAGGATAGTAAAAAGGTTGCAAAAGAGACCATGTGCCCAGAAACATCTGTGTGACGCTAGTTCTTATGGGAATTTTGAAGGTTTTTTTTTTTTTTTTTGAAAGAGACTGTAGATAATAAACCCCACTCCTGGAACATATTACAAACCTAAAGATTTTGGTCTTGTCTGGGATAATGGGCAGGTGCTTCCAAGATATTTCAGCTGAAGGGGCCCTTGTATTTCAGCTGAAGGAAATGGATGGCAATAATGATCAATGGCTCGATCTAGGAAAGAACTCAGGACTTCCTAAGGTCATTTGAGGCTCAGACATGTAGCTCATCCACATGGAAGCAACAGGCAATTCATTTCTCCTCATTCTTCACATTTCAAAGTTCAGGAAGGACTGAGACACTCGCCCCAGAGAGACAGGACTTGTGAGTTGGTGACTTAGCTGGTACTCTACCAAAGGGAGCTCCAGGTGGGGATATGGGTACATACAGCTTACTTTGGAAATGATCCCAGAAGTCAAGAAGGAAGTAGCTGCTAAGGAATGGTTGCATTGTGGAACACAATTCCACCCAGGGTACACTAGGGACATCTACTTGCTGCTGAGTCCCAGGAGCAGAGCTGAACACACCTGGGGTGGCCAGTGGATGGGGCAGGGAGGAGCTCCCTCACAGTCAACATGGATGGAAGGCTATCTCCAGGGACTTCTGCCCAGCCCTGTGCATCCCTATGTACACTCTGTGAGCTAGGACATCCTAGGGCAGAGGCTGGTATTTATAATAATCAGTCTCAGCAGAAGGCAGACGTCAAAGTACCAGGCTGCCTGATCCACACATAGATTTCAGGGCTCTGCCCCTTGAGCTCCTGACTCAGTAGGCCTAGTGTGAGGATAGAATGCTTGCATTTTCAGCGTGAGGACACACTAATGCCAAGGGTCTTGGTTTTGACTGACGGGTGAGTCTCCAGCCCTTTCTTGACTCTTACTGATGGACTCCACCCCCCCCAGCCCCCATCATTTATGAAGAAAATTTCACACCACTTCACATCATATATCCCAGGCCCATGCTGTGAATTTG